GTGAAAACACTCGACACAACATTAAACGATGAATATGTATCTGTCTAGTCGAATATTATTATGAAAAAGTGAAAGATAAATATTTGAAATAATTTAACTAACGTCCAAGGTAGTTTAATTAATTCATAAATAATTGATGTGTACACATTCAAAGTGTTTTAAAGGAACAGCTGTTTCATCCTTGTTCGGGACTAACTCATCAGTATGCACGCATGACCCCACCCAACCAAGGATCGAACCTAGAAGCTTCAGGTTACCACGTGAAACTGTATTGGCAGACGTTAGGTGTGAGGAGTTGGCCATTGGGTTCCATCCGACTGGATGAATGGTCAACGAGTTTTCTTTGTAACCTAATGTTCTTAGATTTGATTCGCATTGGCGTCATGGGGGCGTGCTGATGGAGAGCCCCCAACTGGGACAAAGCAGTTGTCCAGTACTCCTTGGTAGGTTTCAGTGGTAGTCTAGCTGATTTCAGTCAATTATTTGAAACATTTAAATGTTTTCTATTGTTTGTCAAAGTGAAATCAAATTTTCATGATCGATTTAGCAACTCTGAAGTATTCACTACATTTTAATTACTGAACAGTCTGATTATTACAATCGACAGTAGTTCGGTAAAACTGCCATTGATCATCAACGGAAAAGATGATTCATTAGGGAATGGGGTGGGAACAGCTTAATCTGAATGATACATTGGGAACTCAGGTTGACAGACTGAGAAAAGAACGTAACTGACAGCATAACACAGTTAATTTGTATCCTGCAGAACTTGTTATTATATCATACGGTGACTTGATATTTTGCATCTGAAAAAGTTAGGATCCATCCGAAGACACCTTTTAATTCAGAATCTATAAATTACATTTCTAAATGTTGTTTTTTAGCGATTTGATTGGTTTCAAGTTTGATCACAGATTGATATCAGTTAGAGAAGCATTGAAAACCCGAAGGGAGTACTAGAAAGCTGTTCCTTCCTAGTCTGAGTGTTCTCATCTGTGCACATCCGCCAGGACCTAACCCATAACCTTCAGGTTACGAGGTGAAGCTATAAATCCGAAATTCTGCCATTGTCTTCAGTCCCAGTGGCTAAATAATCAGTATGACCTCTTGGCAAACTGAAAGTGGTGAGTTCGATACCCCTTGGGGCAGTGAATACGTAACGAAGAAGAGTCTCAAACTAGGACGAAACAGTTGTCTATTACTCCCTTATGCCTCTCTGTGATTTCCTCTCTAACTTCAGTAAGTTCATGGCCTAATATGAAGTTTATTTCAATCTTCTTTTAAACATCATCTAGGTGATCATTTCGGACCAAATCATGTAATAATCTGTTCATTATGTGTACATTGAACACCTATAAAATAGACAATAAATATCATGCATCAACATTTCGAATTGATTTATTTGCTAAAACCTGAGTTAAATTTTTATTTCTTAAACAAAAGCTGTTCACTTATAAATAATAAACTTAACTGGCGAACTGATATCATGATCATAGTTCCATCATCAAATTATATACCGTTTAATGATATCGATATGGTCTGTCATCTCTCTGAGCAAAAACGCAAGTGAAATGAGAAAGGACTTTATATGTCAGTGACATATCAGGTGTTTGTAACTAATTATAGGTAAAAATGCATTTTAGATGTTCGAGAGGCTTAACATAAAGCCTAGACTTGCACTGCATTTCTAATATGCAAGTCGTCTGTCCTTATTTTTCAAGTCTCAGTACATATTTTATTATGTTTTATATAATTATAGAAGAAAAACAACATAAAAATAAAGAAATAATAGCTCATATCCCATACACAAGAGGTAGGTCTCATGGACCAAGTGGTTAAGTGAGTAATGCTTTGTTGTCTGAAATGGTGGATACAGGGTGCCAGTCTTAGTGAGAACGTCATCACTCACTGACGATGCATGTATATGCAGCTGACGATTACCAAATTGGACGAAAATATCATCCTGTTGGCCGCCTTGTTAGATACTACCAACCAAATAATAGATATCTGTTTCTTCCTAGCTTTTTGGTACTATTCAGCAGTACGCAGTAATGACTCCACCCAACCAGAGATCGAACTCAGAAGGTGACCTCGTTGGCCATTTAGCCACTGGGGTACAATCCAGTTTAAGATACACACAGCTGACTAATGCTAACAAACAGGAAACTTTGGGTTAGGGCTTCCTATCAACTGCTTCCAACCATCTAACATCAATTCAGTGTGAATAGTAGTGGCGACTTACCTGTCTTGGTGACTACAAATTACAAAACTGACTGATAGAATCCAGTCTGCACCAACACCGAGGGCTACAGGAATGATACTGTTTATACCTTAGTGATTAATCAATCAATGTAAAGAATGGAAATTGTCTGGAATACTACCGAGGTTAGCCAATAATTCAAGGTAACCATTTTATGGAGGGAATGAACAGTTAAACGATTAAGACTCAAACTATGTAGGCAGAGGGATAGCATGATTGACTTTACAAAGTCAACATTTTTGTTACAAAAAAGACTTCAATTCACACACTTCCTTGAATATTACTTTATTTACAACTGAAATACACTTGTTAACCCCTATGTATCCTAAAGCCATCCTTTTTTTCTAAATGTCAAGCATTCTTATGTATTAGCCGTAAAAATGAACACTATCTTCCCGACTGATAGCTGCTATCTTGACGTGTTAGTCTGGCTAGCATACCTCAATAACGTAACGAGCTACACTGGATGGAACGAATGTTCCTACAGATCTTACCACGGATAGAGGTTACCAGCATAATATAAGTCGCTAACACTCTATCGGGCGTCTGAGGACGAAGACGCACTGTTGACGAATATGGATGCAATAGCAGTAAGGTGTTTCCCTCATGCACCCAGAAAAACAGTTATGCTGCCTCTCTTGTCTGTGAAGGAAGACTAGGGGAAGTCTCTTCAAAGAATACTACATCCCGACTTATTTTGCGGCTGTATTGCGATCAGAACCTGCTATTTATGGTCTGAGCACACAAAACTGATCTTTGAGTCTTAATGTGTAGCTGACAAAACTTCCATGAGATACGCACGGTCACGAAAACGCTCCAGAGACAAGGAATAGACTACTCTTCTTCTAAAAATATTTGTTTCTATTCAACAAAATTAACATTAAAAACTCAAAATCTCCTCAACAGTGCCATTAGGTAGCTACACAGACAGCGTTATTTTCTAAGTGAAAAACAAGTACTGAGAATCAAGTAGAAGATTCCCAACAAGGTGGAATTAAAAACTTTACCGACAAGAATCACATACTAGCGCTTCCCGCAGACAGTCCAGGGTCAGAATGACTTTGATTCACTCAAACAAAATCACATCGTAAAACACGTTATCAGTGCACATATGACCATTTAGAGAAGGATTAAAATTAAAGATTAAATAGGGACGAAGACATATAATAAGTACCAAGTCAACATATTATATGCAAATGTCAAAATAATGATATACAGTCTAGGAGAAAAACTGGTAATAATTGCAAAATTAGTTGAAACGACCAAATTTGCATAAATATTGTGATTAGACCGTCCAGGAGGGATTTTGTAGACAATCTTTCAGTTGCAGGCAGTGCACAGCCAGCGGTAAGACCTTAAAATACGAACATATCAACCAAAAACCAATTCAAATAGGCGGCCTGCGACTGGCCATGCTCTCTGTGGTGATACAGTATTAGTGCTGCTTCTGTTTTAAGTATTCCAAGGATAATTCAGTGAAAAATCTTATATCCACATTTCGAAATTCATCCTTATATGATATGCAATGATGAATTCTAGTTATGTTTCACACTGTTTGTTTACCACTTAGACTCCATTTTGAGCACATGCATTGGTTGCCAACGGTCGCGCTAAAATCGCGAAATGGTGGAACTTAGAATTCATAGGGTGGCAGGTACGTCTAAATGACAAGTACAAAAAAGGATAAAGTGCACATCCTGGATTCGACAGCTAGTTATCCCCCACCAATTTACTTCAAGTTGTGAATACTTAGAAAATTAATAATATGAACAAATCCCTAAGTGGTTTCATTAAAACAGAAAGCAAGGGCGTATGAAGCTCTATTCTACGACATTTGTTCGACTTCTGCCTATCATAATTTTAAGATCGTCTATCGAATTCATGGTAAGCTGGCGTGCTTTCTTCGTTCCAAACTGCTTCCGATATTCTTTTACCTGTGCCATTTATTATCGGTAAATCTCTTGCAATGTTAAATTCTGTTTTTCCAAAATTCATATCGCCTAAAATAATGTTTTAATTATCTCCTAATCGTATAAGTTTACATCCCCTTCCAACATTCTACGAACTATTCAATGAATGACATTTGATGATATTAGATGATTGCAGATACGCCTTGCTGACGAGTGCCAGCTAGCACGAAACCTAGGTCCAAGGCTTCCTGCCAATTGCCTCCAACCATCTAATATCATGAAATCAATGTGTACTGTGGTGGCGAGCTATCTAGAATGGTGGCCACATTGCAAACCTGACTGATAGAATTCAGTCTGCACCAAAGAAAGGACTAGACACATCACGCTAGTTACTAGTGTCCAGTCAAAACATATGACATTATTTATTTTACCACTTGATATGTAATTATGATTATAGCCACGAACGATTTAATTGCATCTCATATTATTAGTAATTTGAGTATTCACAACTTTAAACTTCCTCACAGGATGTGAATTCCTAAAAACCATATACGATTGTATAGCTTGATAATAAATTCGTTGAAAAGAGTTTCATAGCTGAGTGTTGTGTTCGTACTACTTATTTATTCAGCAAATCCTAGTCCAATGATTTTATACTTTACCCGCTTCACTGAAGTCAGAAAGAAAATGTTACACCTTCAGGGAAAAAAACTTTTACGGCCGATACTGATTTCCTATTGGTTAAACTGATAGACTTATATTTGTTAATTTTTGATTGGTTCTTATCAACGCTGAAACTGAACCAATCATACACAAGTTTTGTAGATAACCGTTATAAACACATTTCACCATGCTACAATTCAACATTTGAGCCAAATAATAAATATAATACGGCTTAGTGGTTCATCTGCTTTTTTTGTACATAATATACATTGATTAAAAATACTGATCAAACACAAGGGAATATTTAAATAAAACAGACATGAATAGCTTTCCTGTCAATGGTAATAATAACATCAATATTAATCATGGCTTATTTCCTCCAACTCCATGTACAGCTGCCTTTAATTCAACAGGATTCAATTTTAATAACACGCCGTATTATACTACAACAACACAGCCGCCACCACAAATGATGATATCACTTTCTAATGAACAGAAACGTTCTGAATTATTCCAGAATAATAATACTGAATTCCCCAATGGTGCAATGGAAAATGGAATATTGCATTACACTTCGAATGTGTGTATTCTCAATGGAATTAATAATAATAATAATAATAATAATAATAATAGTGATATGCCAAATGCAAGTGTCCATGTGGAAAGTGATAATAATGATGATAATAATAATAGTAATAATGTGAATTATGTGAATACTAACAATGCAAAGAATAAAACCAAAGGCTCCAGTAAAAATAATAGTAAGTTAAACCTATTTTCCCATTCATTTTTACTATCTTATGATTTCCTTTCCAATAGATGTGATGTATCTTTGGTAGTATGTTGTCTTGCAACGGATATATTAACATTTCTGGGATTTGTTTTGAAGTTACTTCTGAGTAAAACTGTGTTGAGTATATGGAAACATTTTTTCTTGATGTGTATATTGTTTGCTTTCCTATTGGGGAAAAGGTTTCCAGTAGCACATCACCAGTGTGTTTTCTTATCTGTTTCCACAACTATCCACAGGCTTTGGTGTCCTCTTCATATGATCACTCTCCGACTGATACCCCATCCTCCACTTCACATTCGGTTTCCATTTGGCTGCCTGTCAGCGTATGTTGAGTCATTCACCACTTACTTCTGCATATTTGTTTGGTATTAGGTTGTTTGCTGGTTCGTCGCATGACAGAGTGTCCCTTGTTACTAATCTTTTCCAGCCAGCCATGCTATCTTCACTATGGTAGAGCGTCGGTGGTTTAGCAGTTGAATGCTCAGCAACCTTGGACATGGTCCGGGGTTCCATCCATCTCTGGAGCATACCTTTATCTCTCTTACTTGGCTGTAAACCCAATTGAATAGGAAAACTGGGCGTGAGGCTAGCAAACTCATTCTCGTAATATATATATATATATATATATTACTCAACCAGCTGATTTTGGGTAATTGAGAGAATAAATTCGATTATCCTTTAATTCAGTATATAAAATTTAATAAATACACTAATCAGTCAGTTAAAAAAAATGTTTCCATTGTGAACTTGGTTGTGTTGTCGTTCTTCTTTTTACGTCTTCTTCGCCCATCTGACTGACATCAATCATTTCATCAGGGGAAAGTTGGGTGTTAAGATGTAAAGCAAAGTTAATGAAATTTGAAAATAATAATAATATTTTCACATACACTTTAATAATACATTGAAATAATTAATACTAGCAAAGACAAACATTGATTATTTTGTCTGAGTTTTAATATAAAAAATATATTAATTATTGACAGACATTGGACATTGAACTGTCAATCTATGTTGTATTAACACTACTGATTGATTTCTAGGTGAGCTCTTTATGTTGACCAGTCCACTAAATCAATTGGATATGAGGGTAACTTCACACTGATAAAATTGTGGTAATACATTGATCATTGGTCAAAATGGATATGCCCTTAAACTCCGAATCCAACAACATAAACTAGTCAAGAGACATGACATACAATAATTCTTTTATATCAATATGCACACAGACAATTATGGATAGAAATTTGACTGGGAAAATGTAGATATTTTAAGCAACAGAAATACCAAGAAGACTGGTACTCAGAAGAATCAGGGATTAACAGATACAATATTACTTTAGATCAAAATTTATCAACTAATAAAGAATAAACCACATAACAAAATAAATGAAATAAAATAAAGTAAAATGTGTGGTGAAAAAGACTACTACTTATGCAAATTAACGACTAATCACGACAAAGGTTGTCAGGAGATAAAACTGAGTAATTCATGAGGAGGAAGTGATATTGTCTAGAAGAACACTGAAAGCTTCGCACTTAAATCATCATTCGACTCAGTGAACGCAACCATATCAAAATCATCCACCTTAGTTACAAATGTTCTCCTTTATTATTTCAACACTGAGAAGCGATAGATTTTACTCTACCGACTGATGTCTGATGTAATCTGCTCGTCATACTACTTGACAGTCACAAACTCAATTCACTCCAGGATTGCAGATGTGTAGTTAGCAGACGCAAAGCTTCGAAAGGTAATGAAGACGTTTTCCGACGACTTTTCAAAAAGTTTTCAATGATCCTGTAAGTGATTCAAGATTCACAGAAATCTGTAACGACAGAAGGCAAGAGTCAGGCAACAGATCATTTATTAAGGAAATCAACGCATATTTATATATATATATATATTTCATGTACATTACTATGGATATTTAAACAAACAAACAAACACAGTCTTCCGATTGGTTGTTTCTCACGTAAAGTTAATCTTTCATCTATTTGTGACTGTTTCTTGAATGTCAAATCCTCTATATGTTAACTGCATCCGCCTACGCAAAGTCTGCTGTGGTCGGTTTTGAATCAATCTTTGTTCACATTTTCTCACGACAAATCTTGGGGACGTAAATATTGACGTAAATTACTGTCTACCAATCTGGCTAGTAGACAGCTCTCACCACAAATCCATCAATTTGAATATGATATATATATATATATATATATATATATATATATATATAATATGAACCGTAATTCAATGCATCAATTATTCAGGCATAGGTAGAGTGCCCTAAAATCACACTACCATTGGTCCAGGGTTCGATTCTCGGCCTAATCTCACTTAGCCGGTGGTAAAACTTGGCAAAACAGAGAAACTTTGGTGTATGAGGCAAGTAACTCCATCCCGTAAAAACAACTTAATCACCGCTTCTGAAACTTCAAAGTTTCTAGCCTGAAGCCTTATATTCCACTCGGAATACTTTATTCTGGACAAAATGTTTACGAAGTGTACAGAATTCTCAGCCTAATTTATAGCACAATATCTCCTTTTCATCCCGAATCTTCAAGTAAAATAGCAGTCTATGATATACTGTGTGATGCATAGCATAAACTGATCCCACCTGATATCTCGCCTTCATTTTCGAGAAAAGCGCACTGGTAGTTGAGAGGCCAGTTAAAAACGTGTGTTAGAACACTTGTAGATTCAAAGGCATCATTGAATGATTAAAATGATAGGAAGTGGAGAAAACATGATACATTGTGCTAGATGGAAAATTTCAGGTAGCCCAATGACTCAAACAGGCCCGCAGTTCTGGAATATTCTCCAGATAGAAAAAAAAGCGGAATATTATAGAAAACCGATGTAATTGTGTAAACACACAGGTGGAGTGTGTGTGTGTGTGTGAGAGAGAGAGAGAGACAGAGGAGTAAATATTGTTATCGAATTGTTATTTAAAATAAATAAATAAAATATAATACGTATGCATATATAGATGTAGATAATTCACAATCTCAAAATGTGGAGTGAAAATAATAAGTTTAATATATACAGGAATGAAATTTGTCTCTATGTGACGACTAACAACTTCTCTATCACTTAGATGGAAGGAGGGGGAGGTGGAACAGAGAGTACTGCTGTCTATATTTTGGATGATAAATAATAATGGAAAATCAATTTCAGATTATTTGTCATCGTGTTGACTCAATCGTTACTGACATCTATTGACATTTCATCTTCTAAACACTGTTGCGGTGACTGTTTTCATCCTGCCAGTCAAGATTTACTCATTCTTATAAAAGATGGAGAGTTATGGATGGACATATCCCCCACGCACGCACACACACGCCTACACACACTGACACCCAAGCGCATATACACATATATGACAGCAAAGCCAAAAATAAACTGTCGATTTTAGTAATCTGAAATGCTGGTATGCACATACTTATATCTATATTGTAAAGAAAAGCAGGTTAAATGTATCAGTAAGCGTAAGTTGACGATCATGATAATCATCATTAGTGTTGTGATAGTAAAATGACCCATTCATTGGTGGTCAACCTCCACTGGGATGTGTTTCGTTTTTAGTTAGGTATATATAATTGACTTTGAGGACAGTTATTGTTGTTGACCTGTTTTATGAGTATATTATAGATAATATGTTACATGATGAATAAGTGGAAATGGAAGAACATGAACAGTCTGTTGATGAATACTGTCATACACACAAACTCACACAAACAGACATGTACTAACATACATCGAAAGCACTACTAACCTCTTATGTATAGATCTAAGTCTGGTGGTGGGGTATGGTGTCAGGACCAATAGTTCGCAAAACATGATGTCACTATAATACTACTGACTGACTGATATGAGTAGTTGGATGCCATTCATCACATGAACCGGTTGTAGTGCTTACTAGCCAGCTCTAAGTGGTCTAAAAACTACATGGCAGTTCCGTACGCCTCTGGAGGCAAAATCCTTTACACGGATATATCCTGTATGACTCAGGTGACAGAAATCAACCGAATTTTGACTAGCTACTTGGGCTAAATGGTAACATCTTCATTGAAGTTTGAAGTTTGCAAATTAATTTTCCATTTGCAGTGTACACAGTTTGAGGAGGTGAAATCTCGCCACAGTTTCCATTGGAAACACAAATTATTCACATCACCACAATATGTGATTGATCTGTTTGGTACCATAAATGGTAATCAATGAAGCAAGCATAAACGCGTAAAACTATGTAGTATTGACTAATTGAGACGATTAGTTGAATACCACTCATATCATCTAGTATTGCTTGCTACCCTGGTGGAAGTAATCTAAACTCTGGACGATAGCTTCGCTCATCACCTGTATACTAGATTCGACTCAGTCCAAACAGTCGAATCAGTGAACAAACCATCTGAAGTTTCGCCTAGCTACTTTGGGAAATCTGATCCCGATCGAAAAGCAGCATATTGTTTTCTGTTCCGGCATATGCAGAAGTTACAGAATAGAACTTATAATTGACATATGTGCTACTTATAGCTGATACTTTTGTGTTTCCCTTCAATTGTTTGTCTGACAATAAATCTCACGACTTGTAAGGCCATGATGGTCGTGTGTCAAGGGAGAACAGACAACGACAGGGAGAGAGAGAATATGTATTCACAAGCACATCAGCTAGTATGCAATATTGATAGTAGTAGTAGTAGTAGTAGTAGTAGTAGTGTAATGACGTGAATTAAAAAAATTAATCGACAGCTTAAATGTCAACCCGATATCACTTCACAGGCATGCACATATTAGAAACTGTAAGAGCTGTCTTACACTATCCACACTACAGAATTAAATGATTTCTAAGTGCTTTTTAACTATTTTGTTTGTGTAATTTGAGACTATTTAACTAGTATGTAGTCTTTAATATAATGACCGACTAATCAGACTTAACTTTCTAAGAAAAAACTGAAATGAGAATCTGTGTCA